ATTTCCTTTGTGTATATACACAGAAGTGGGATTGCTGGATCATATGGTAGTGATACTCACTACTTTTTTCATTCTGTTAGGATCTTCAAAGAGTTTCACAATGTCTCATGTAATAAGACCAGATAAATCTTTTGACAATTAATAGATTGCTTCATGATCTGTAACAAGACCATAGTTTTGAAGAGTCTCAACAAGTGATAGTGAAGTTTGATAAAAAGTGTTCAATGATATACTATTCTCTAAGGAACTCACCAATCGATCTTTATTGCATTCAGAGCATCTTCCTTTCATTTTTAATAGTAGTGATTTAATTTAGTTTATAATGAATGTTGATTGGTTCAAAATATTCTTAAATAGGGAAGAGATAGCTACTGAATCTGAACTCCCTTGGTTTTCTATGACCTATTATTCCATAAACATAAAGGCAGGCTTTGTAAAAATATCCAGCTGTTTACTTGGGAAAAAAAATCCTTTAGACAAACAGATGTTAAGCAAAAGATATATCTTAGAACATAAATATGTAAAATTGTGTAAGTATAAATGCACTTACCAGATATAATTCGTGAAGGCATGGATATTGCCACCCGATATTGCATTGTTGCCTTTGACTGTTAACATTCAAACAAAGGCTACCCATGTCAAACACCATTGAGGACTCGGCACAATCAAGAAGATTATTCTTTCACAAGTACATCTTAATACATAATACAAATGCAAACTTACTTGTAGCACATTACATGCATGGGATATTGTTATCATGTTATGATTTGAATTTTTCAATATTATTATGTTTGCTAAATAAGTTAAGGAGCTTATTATTTAAGTTTGTGTTGTGCAGAATGGCATAATGATGTCCAATCAGGAAAGATAAATTATTTAATAAATATGAAATCAGATATGAACTCAATGAAGCTGTATCTTTTATTTGGTGACTTGTATTACATATGACAAACCCTATTCATTCAATGGATTTACAGGAAGTTAAAACTAACATTGGTCTTACATTAGCAATAAAATTTTGCTGGCTAAAGTGTCCCACTTTTTAAAATTATTATAGTTACTCAGTAGCACAGGCTGCTCCCACAAAACCAACTCTTCACATGGAGTAACAAATGAAACACCATAATCTTAACAAGATTATCATAATAAAAAGTCATCAGATAAATTAAAATTATCTTCTTTAATTATGAGATTATAACCCCATTAACTCCTCTGCATGAAAAGTGGTAATTAGGGAATAGGAAAGGAGAATCCATAGACAGCAATTAAAACTCCAGAGCAAATTAAAGGGAAGGTGAAAAACATCTTACAAGGATACAGATATTTCAGGTAATTCATTTAGCAGAGCATGTTTTTTGTACATTGTAATTTCCAAACTAACCACAAGAAGTGTTCTATTTTGGTTTTGAGTTTTGTTTTTTCAGATTGACTAAACAAACAGCACTGAAACTAAACACTTAAAAAGAAGACCCTCATTTAAATATGCCTAGAGCTGTGAATTAATTATGGCCTAAATAAGTTATTAGAACAATATTGTCACTGATGCATTATTTATGGATAGTTGTTGGAAACTTTGTAACCACAAAAGTACGGAGCTGACATTTGCAAAGACATTAACATGAAAATGAGGAGAATTTAAAGAGAAAGTATAATTCAATGTTCAATCTCTTACTAAGATAGTCTTCAATTATGTATATAGCAACTACATTTTTTTACTTCTAATATACACATGTAATATTCATAGGCCTACTCTAAAGCTTTTTCAAATTAAGTTTGCATGTGTAAGTGATAAAATAGACACTCAGTGATAGTAAAATTTATATGATAACAAAATTATATACAGGCATTATTACCACATACACAATAAATGCACTAAGAACAAAATATCTTTCAAAATTGTTATAGACTATGCAAATGTTAAAATACATACTTATCTGCTTTCTTAGTGAGCTATAAATACTTTATATTTTAGATACTCCAATAAAATTATATTAAATTTTAGGTAATATGTACCTTTTGAAGATTAAATAAAACAGAAAACAAGTGAAAACATTATATTCAGTGAAGCGTGTTATTAAATTTCATTATAGTAGAAACCTCAGTTGTTTATATTGTAAAAAAGAATAACATTATGCTATTATGTGAAAAGGTTTAACTAAAATTAGGTTCTCATAAGATTGTACAGAAATAATCCTAGAAATATTTCAGAAGAAACTATTGCTATACAAAAGTAAAGATGATTTCACAAGATATTATTATGTATTAAATTTTAAATCTTCAATGGTCAGGCCAGAAGCTTTGAATGATCCATTATGCATGCTGTATGTATTAAGAAGTAAAATCCAAGCAGTGTCACTCAAACAGCATGATAAAAAATTGCAGTTTTTGTTAATATACTTGTTAGTATTGTTTACTTCAAAAGTTAGTGTCCTTTCCCCTAATAGCAAGAAATGGTATATTACAATCAAGAAATCATCAGTGTTTCATTTCTATTTCAACCATTCAGACTCTCAGAATTCATCAGTTGATTAACATTTACAGAAAAACCAAGGCATGATATTATTTTAAGCTATTTGATTTCATAACTTTTGGAAATATCCCTGGGGAACTGGAAATGTTTTTTTCTTTTTCTGGATTTGTTTTGAGGTGTATTTCCTAGGTTATTTGTACCAGGCAATAATGTTTTGTTTCGATTAGTATAATAAATGCCCTAGCAACACTGCTTTCTTCCATTTAATATTTATTCTATCTCTCAATTTGGCAAAGAGAAACTCAATTGTATTCAGCCAAGTTTTGTGTTTGCTCAGTATTCAGAAGCAAAGTAATATACATCAGCAATGAGCCCTGTTCATGAAAATCATGTGGTTGTATTCTTTTGACCGGGGTGATTGGTTTACTGGCTATTTTAGCCCTGTGGATATGAATTTAGCTGTGGTGGCAGAGACCTAGGAAATATTTCCTTACTCTTAAGGTGATAGAGGTGATGGTATTGAAGGACAGACAACTTGAAACAAAGTGAGTGCACTAAGGAACAGGGAGAAATGAATAGAAGACCCTCTGTTCTTCAGGGTACCAGTGTACCACTGATCGATCTCTGCTTATAACTCCTTAAAATAAGAGAAATATTGTTACTCTTATTGAAAATTTGATTCAGATCATTCAGTGGGTCTATGCCCTTCTAAATGTTACAACTGTTAATAAAATAGAGCACTCCAATGATAACTGTCATGTATTAGAAGCTAGATAACTGATTATCTTTGAAATACATTGTTTAAAAAAAATCACTTCTCAGAAGAAATACAATTTTAGTTTGAGTATTTCCAAAGTTCCATTAAATTTTTTTTTGATTTCTAGTACCTAGAATTATACAGAATTTGCTTATATTTTAATATTTTATACTAGGGGCTCAATGCATGAAATTCTTGCAAGAGTAGGCCTTCCTTCCCCTGGTTCCTAGCACCAGAAGGACCTGGGCTTCCTTCACAGAGGGAGGCTCTGCCCACCAGCCGCAGCCCATGGATCGGTGGACTGGGCCTCCCTCTTTGGGGCAATTGTGGAGCCCCCTGACTGATTGCTCTTCCAGCCAGTGGCCTGGGCCTCCTTCTGCAGGGCAAACATGGGGTGATGGCCAGGCCCTCGACCAATGGCATGGCGCCTGCCTTGGCTGGCCTGGTGCCAGTGCATGTCATAGCATGGTTGCCTGGAAGGTTGTCCAGAAGGTTGTTCAGTCTGATTAGCATATTACACTTTTACTATTATAGATGACATTACCACCCTTTTGTGGTTTATATTTTCAAACTCTGTAACACCCTTGTATTTTGTTTTGTTGTTGTTATGTTGATTTGTTGTTGTTGTTTATCTTACGAAGCACACTTGCAAGGACAAAGACTCTGAAATGAGCTCTACTCTTGTGTTCACCATTCTGCCTAATTATTCCAAGTGGCAATTTTTCAAATGGGTACATTATGAAAATGGGCCTATGAATCCATGAAGGTGCATATGGATAAGAAGAAGCAGAGCAAATGGAACTTTAATAGACTTTATTTGAATTTATAATTATGGAAGAGATTTTTTTTCCTGTAGTCTTGCTAAAAAATGTGTTAAAATTAATCCATATGTACATTTTAAAGTAGTTATAAAAGGTGCCATTCAATTCTTTGTCACTCAATTCACATAATTAATTTTTGCAGTAATACTTTTAAACAGACTTATAAGCAATTAACTTTTGAAGCTAAGATTTGATCCCCAAATGTGAAAGGTCTCTTTGAGGAGAATACTTACAGGCTATGTTTTAGTCCTGAACCATGTAGGAATGGCAGTACATTTACAGTAATTTCCTCAGTAGCAACCCAGCAGGGAGGGGGTTGCTACTTTAGTCTTTAGTCTTTCTGTTTTTGAGATCTTTAGTCTTTCTGTTTTTCCCTCTGTTACTAGCTTTTTTCTCCCACAAGCATTTGTTGAATGCAGTTATGTATGAGAAACTGGTTTAAAAACAAATGCCAAGGATGAAAAGACCCAGACCTTCCCTCCTCTGGGGGTTAGTGGAGGGTACTGTTAGCATTCTGTGTGACTTTGGAGTACTAAAAACCCTATACAAAAACAAGAGGAAGTTGCTTAAAGGAGGAAAGGCTTTATGGAGGTGGTAACTCTCAGCTACATACTTAACAATAAAAAGAAGTTGTTAAAGGGAAGAGAGGGAAGGACCAAGGCAAGTCAAGAAAGTAGCACAGGATCATACTTACAAAGCACAATATTCCATGAGTCTTTTAGAGAACTGTAAGCATGAAGCAAAATAAAGGTTTTAACAATGGACTGGTTATATTACTATTTAAAATATTTTAAATAAAACAGGTGAGTAGATTTAAAGCAACACTTTCAATATTTTCCAACATATTAGTAACCAGATCAGTATTTACCTTTTTCAAGTGGACACAGTTTATGGATCACAATTTTTTCTTTGGTTGTCAAACAATATATTATTTGAGGAAAAAATATATAGTAAGATTATGGAGTAGAGTCAGAACCACCACAAATAAGAAACTTGCATACATCTCCTTTCTGAGCAAGCTAATAAGACACAAAGGGATATAAGACTATTTTAAGCTTCTTTGTTCATATCAATTTTTTTTTGTTTATCCATTTTGCAGTTTGGAATAAATATTTTTAAACTGCATTATCATATCTACTAAATTGTGAGCTTCTTACACCAAAGGATTACTCATGTTTATGCCTTCTGCAAGAAGTTATTGCACTGCATTATATATAATTGGTGTTCAATAAATATTTATTCAATTGAATTTTTTGCTTGTCTAATATGTAGGCTTCTTTGTTGTCTATATAGAAAACTTAAATCAATATGTAAAGCTATTATACTATTTTTCAATGCTCTAAAGTACAATATAATAGCACCTTCATAAAAGACAGAATTAATAGCTTTATAAAGTCTCTAGGGTGCATGGCTATATGGTACATGTGTGCATGTATGACAGTTCTTTAAAGTCATAAAATAAAGATAATCTGTTTCTAAACTTAAAATAAGACAGTTTTGCCCTGCCAGTGTGGCTCAGTTGGTTGGATCATCATCCCTGGCAATGGAGGGTCTCAGGGTCAGGGCACGTGTCTGAGTTGGTGGTTCAGTCCCCAGCTGGGTCACATAAGATTCACAAACAATTGATGTTTCTTGAGAGACAAACACCTCTCTCCCTCTCACTGTCTTTCTCTCTAAAGTCAATTAAAACACACACACACACACACACACACACACAAACACACACAAAAACAAAAACAACACAACATATCTTCCTGTTAGGATTAAACAATATCCTATTAATAAAGGCTAATATGCAAATTGACTGAACAGTAGAATGACCAGCAGAACGACCGGTCACTGTGACGTACACTGACCACCAGGGGACAGACACAAGACAGGAGCTTCCCACAGGGGAGCACTCCCACAGGGGGAGCACTATTCAGCCAGAAGCTGGGCTCATGCTAGTGATCAGAGCGGTGGTGGCAGAAGCCTCCTCCACCTCTGCAGCAGTGCTAAGGATGTCTGACGGGTGGCTTAGGTCTAAGCCATCATTTGGACATCCCCTGAGGGCTCCTGGGCTGTGAGAAGGTGCAGGCTGGGCTGAAGTACACACCCCTCCTGAATGCATGAATCTCATGCATTTATTTGGCCTCTCGTATAAAATAAAATAGTTTTAGAAATCATTGCATTATCAATTCTGTTTTCTCCTACAGAATTCAAAAATATTCTTTGGATTTGGGAAAAAAAAAATTTTCCTTCTTACAAAAATATTTATGTGCCAACATGCATTAGAATATACTTTTCTTTCTCGTTCTTATTCTTCCATCTGCTTGGGTTTAGACCTCTAGTCAGATTCACATAACTGTTTAGACCTAAATTTACATTTCTACAACTAAGTCAAGTTTATGTATACCTGAACTGGTAAAATGCAAAACACATAAAATCTATTAAATACCCCACCTTTTCAAGGTTCCAAGGAATCACTATAATACTTACTAGTAAGTCAATTATAATATAACACTGTGGCAACACAACTAGAAAATAAACAACATCCATAAGTTAACAAAATTTCTGTTTACAATTTTATATGAAATATCATGCTCCCTCAGATGTTATAATGTTGACTTGGATTGTTGTTAAAACCCATACATATTATCTGAAACTTAGTGCTGCAAAAATGAAGAGTACATTAAGAAAACCATGAAGATTAAATTTATTGAAATTAAACTAATCCAGACTACTTGTTAATTCTTTACCATAAACAGACCTAGCTGGTTTGGCTCAGTAGTTAGAGCATTGGCCTGTGGACCAAAGGGTCCCAGATTCTATTCTGGTCAAGGGCATGTACCTTGGTTGCAGGCTCCTCCCCTATCCAGGCCCTGGGCAGGGCCTTAGCAGGAAGCAATATCAATGCACATCATAGCAATTGATCAACAGTCACTCTGATGTTTCCATCATTTGGTTGCTGAGCTTTTATTATATAGGATGTTATTCTCTTAACTATGGTTGAAGAACTAAGTGAAAACAGGTTAATAAATTAAAAATTACACACAAATGAAAAAGACTAACATGGAAGTTTTAAATATTTAAGGCAATCATTTCTTTTAACATTGAAGAAAAATATCTAGTAAGCTATGAAGCAAGAAAACAGGAAAGGAAGAAAAGAAGGAAGGAAAAAGCATGATGACTAAACTTATAGAAAAAGTAAATATGTTTCTGAGGAAGATATAAATATTTCAAGTATTAGAGAAATTCACTCAGTGCTTTGATATTAAACATCATATAAATATTTAGTGAACATAGTATGGATCTATGCTTAGAAAAAGCTAATAACTTCCTGCTCATACAAAATAGCTACATGCCCTAGCCAGTTTAGCTCAGTGGATAGAGTATCAGCCTGCAGTCTGAAAGGTCCTGAGTTTGATTTCAATCAAGTGCATATGCCCAGGCTTGGGCTCAGTCCCCAGTAGGAGGCATGCAGGAGGCAGCAGATCAATAACTATTTCTCATCATGGATGTTTCTATCTCTTTCCCTATACCTTCCTCTTTGAAATCAATATATATATATATATATATATATATATATATATATATATATATATATATTAATAACCACATGGAGGACAAAAGAAAACCATTTAATTTGTCAGAAACTTTAATATAAAAACTAGAGGCCCAGTGCATGAAATTCGTGCACTCAATGGGGGGGTCCCCCAGCCTGGCCTGTGCCCTCTCACAGTACAGGAGCCCTGCGATCGATCACCCCAAAGAAGTAGGCCGGAGCCTGGGATCCAGCCTCCAAAGTGCACATAGGGGGTTGTGGGGAACTTCACCTCCACTGTGTGCTCAGCCATCTTGTGAGGGCATGAGGGCATCATGGTATCATGGCATGAGAACCACGTAGGCTTTTATTAATAAGATAGTGATCTCATGAACCAAAAATACTTATTCACATTCAGAAAAAATATTTTTATTCTCCCCAATTTCAATTCTGCATATGTATTTTCATTCAAAATTTACCACTGGAGTTAGAAGTGAAAATAAAAAAAAAGAGAAAACTAGCCAAAACGGGTTTGGCTCAGTGGATAGAGTGTCAGCCTGCGAACTGAAGGGTCCTAGTTTCAATTCCGGTCAAGGGCATGTACCTTGGTTGCAGGCACATCCCCAGTGGGGGGTGTGCAGGAGGCAGTTGATTGATGTTTCTCTCTCATCAATATTTCTAGCTCTCTATTCCTCTTCCTTCCTCTCTGCAAAAAATCAATAAAATATATTTTAAAAAATAGAAAACTAGACACACTTACACACACACACACACACACACACACACACACACACACACACATTCTTCAAGGATATAGATTTGGGATAAATTTAGAACATACATTTCTTAATATGACTAGATATGGTTTGATTTATTTATTGTCTGAATTACTGCAGCAGAGCTTTTTGTTTTCCTGCTAGAGGCCCAATGCAGGAAACTCATGCAACAAGCTTGGCCCTTGGCCTGTGCTTGGTGCCCCAGCTTCGTCCAGAGGTCATCTGGAAGGTCATTCAGCTCACAGGTCTAATTAACATATTACGCTTTTATTATTATAGATCCTTTTCTGAGTTGTTCCATGATATCTATGTTCATGCCTTTTGCTCAAAGTGAAAACAATATGCCATTGTTTTTGCTGTATTTACATACATTTAATGTTTTATTTTTTTTCTGTCCATATTTATTTTCTCTTTCTTCCTGAGAGTTCATCTTACTAATTTACCTGTGCTATTATGTGTAAGTACACACAATATTTTGCATCCTGTCACCCTTTCTATTTTTTTTCTGCTTTTATTCTCCTTATTAAACATCTTAATTTGGAAGAAATGAATTAAAATGTTTTATTGCTACAAAGAAACTTTAGTCTGTGGTTTCTAACCTGGAAGCAGGTCTATTCACAATGAAGAACCCTTAGCTACCCCATGAAAAAAAAGGGTTAAATAGTCATATAAAAATAATCATCAGAAAGACATCTTTAATAATTTGAGATTTCTGAGGAGTTTTAAAAATGATAAAATGAGCTCATTCTCTTTCAGTTTTCCTAGGTTACAGGTATGTGGAAGGGTTGCATTAACATATGTACAAGATGAATGTTTATTGCAGTTTATTATTTGTTATTTAAGAAACTTTGGAAAACATTTAACGCTAAGGACACTTTGAAAAATAATTCTGAAAATGGCTGTTTTAAGGAACAAAAAGCTTTCAGTTTAATATTGCATCAAAAGAATAATTTAAAAATAGAATAACTGCTAGCAACCAGGCATATAAATAAATAGACACTCACTACATGGCATGTAAGAAATGTATCACATTTGAGTAGGATTTATGTTATTTTCTACTTTTAAATTGATGCATTATGTTATAGATTTTAATAACATTCTTCAGAGGTATTTAGAATGCATTTATTCATTGTAAATTATCTCACCACAAAGAGGAATTGTACAGCGCTTATAACCTGAGACCCTCTGTTCTGGTTTGAGAATAAAAAAAACAAAATAAACAAAAAAAAACCCACTAAAATAATAACTCCTGTTATCAAAATGCTCACATGACCAGAACTAACAGAAAAATGTTATCTCAAAACACAAACTGTCAAGAGTATTTGAATATTATGTATTTAGCATGTTGCTTATTAGGTTATTTTAATAACTTAGTAATGAGAATGGAGTCTGGCAACAATAGATGAGACAAAATATATAAAAATAAGAATAAATTGTGTTATTTTAGAACCCAAAGCAAAATCATGTTAATTTACTAACAATAACAATGACTGAAAAGTGTACTATTTATTTCCCAAGTACGATTTATTTTCACATTGTGTCAAGATTATTATGTAAACGTTGCACAAACTAGACAGAAAAATGCAATACAATTTAACATATTTGATAATTCTGAATTTAATGAAACATTATGCATGACAGAAATAGGAATCAATTGTAAAATGAATAAAATAGTGACTCAAGAATAATGTGCTATAATAACCTCAAAATAGTATCTTTATTTAAGGGATATGGTATAGTTTTAAGTTTTATCTATCCCAAAGTCAATTATTTTATAAAAACAACAATATTTTGCCTTAATATTGTGTGTACACATTTAGCTCTTCCTAATGTCAAGTTCAAGTTAAATATGAGAAAGTTTACACACAGTGTAATCTGCATTTTTCTCATATGTAAATTTGTGGAGATTCTGTGGAACCATGCTTATTCAATATTAGCATGGTTCTTTAGAGAGAAAAAATAAAGTAACAAATATCTCAGTACTGTTTATCACAATTATTGTCTCCTGCCACTTTGCAGAGCATCTTACCCATCTCTGCAAAGATAAAAAAACAAAAGCTGTCACATTCTTAGTGTCCCGCTAAGTAAAAATCGTGTCCTATTCAAAGAAAGAGGTTTCTGATGCTTGTATTCACAAGCCTTGATAACAGGAGACAAACCACAATTCAGAATAAACTTATAATGACTGTTGCACAGTACTTCAACCTGCCAGTGCAACAGCCACTTGAAGATTAAACAGTTTTTTTGGTTGTTTTTTTTTTTTTTTTATCTATAAAGAAATACTTCAGACATTGTGAACACTTTGATCATTTTCAAAAAACCCACCTACTTAGAAAGGTTCAACAATTTTATGCTTACAAATTAAATCAATAAATATGATTTTTGGAATCCAGCCATGCACACTCTTGCTGTGAGATGGTTAATAAAAAGAAGAAAACAAAACAAAAATAACTGGGTATTGAAAGTCACTGTATAGATAATATTGTTTAGCATGCCGTGTTAGCATGGACATGCACAGATGATACACAGAACAAAATTACTCCAAAAATAGTATCATAATCTGAATATATAATCTAATTTCAAAGGAGCCGGGCAATTTCATGGATATTTAATTCATACTGACAATCAAAAGAAATGGAAATGTCTTTCTTATGTGCATAGTCAGCCTCTTAAGGCAAATGTCGCCCAAAATATTAGTGCCAAACATAGAATCAGAAATTATTCAAAGCTGTAAACCAGTGTTTTTTCTGAGAATGGCATTTGAAGTTAAGCTCCAAAGTGTGAATTCTGTGCCTGTATAACTATTGTCTGTATAGGACTCTGAATGCTTTCTTATACTGTAAAAACATTGCAGACATATAAGAAAGTAAATGTTTGCTATGATCAAACTAAAGAATGAATTAAACAAAAATATGTTATCAGCCAAACCGGTTTGGCTCAGTGGATAGAGCATAGGCCTGCAGACTGAAGGGTCCCAGGTTTCATTTTGGTCAAGGGCATGTACCTTGGTTGAGGGCACATCCCCAGCAGGAGGCAGCTGATGAATGTTTCTCTCTCATGAATGTTCTAACTCTCTATTCCTCTCCTTTCCTCTCTGTAAAAAATCAATGAAATATATAATATATATATATATATATTATATCACCATATAACTGTATCCACTTTATTTACTCTCTCTCTCTCTCTCTCTCTCTCTCTCTCTCTCTCTCTCTCTCTCTCTCTCTCTCTCTCTTTCGTGCACGGGTGCACTGTGTGTGTGTGTGTTTAATCAGTTTACTAGGTGGAAAGATTAAAAGTCGGTGTGCCAAGGTCCAGCAAAATACCTCCCTGCCTGTGCTCTTCAAGGTGGATTTGTTACATCTAATCAATAGATGAAGTGAATTTTTGCATGCCCTTTGGTCTAAGTGGATCCACATGTCTACTTTGACAAATAGCATGAGGTGAAAGTGTTAAATATGCCAGACTCAGACGTGCCTTTTTGTGGTAACTTCCCATCCTGCCTCTCAGAACATTCACTCTTATTATATTCCATCTTCAAAGGAGGGAGTAGAGAGGCACAAGTCACAGGGAGCAGTGAATGAAGATGCTCAGTCAATATCCTTCGATGAGCTCCCACCCAGCATCTAACATTGACTGCTAAACTTTCAGGTCAACTACCTTGGCCATCCAGCATTGCTGAGCTTTCAGACTGCTGAAGCCTCAGCAGTCGTCTGGTTATAGTACATGATAGACTCAAAGGAAAATAAAATGGCTCTGCTGAGTTACCCAGACATTTGTAAGAGATAATAAGTTATTTTAATCTATTAAATTTTGGTTTTAAGGTACACCAACATTGGGTTAGTAAGAAAGCAGTCAGTGCAGATAATTGAAACAAAGTGGAAAATAGGAAGTGTAAAATATTAATAGGAGGACATTGGTTTCTGTGATGTAAACAAATAGGAATGAAAATGATGGATGTATCTTATTGATAGAATCAAGAGAGGGTAAGAAAATAATGCTGTGAAAGTATAAAACAAAGAACACTGGAGGTGAGAGTGTGCGAGGGTTCACAGTTAGTCAATTTACTTTCTAGGAAGAGAGCACAAATCATATGACAATAACAGAAACCAATTCACTGAGTCACGAAAGAAAAAACACTCAGGGCAAGGATATGTTCTAGAAAGTCAGAAGAGTTCATGGCATGGCATGCTACTTGAGAATGGAGAGTTTGTGCTGTGGACAGAATGAATTTATATGGCTAGATACAGTTTGTTAAACAAGAGCCCTTACTCACTGGCCCGGAGAGAGCTTCCAGTATGAGCCCAGTGAAAGTCTGATATTCCATAACTGAGAAAAATGTAGTCATTATTTAGCTTTCACTGATGGATCACACAAACTTCATGGTGTGTGTGTGTGTGTGTGTGTGTGTGTGTGTGTGTGTGTGTGTTTTATTATTTGTTGTTATGTTAATGGCTTGAGGTGCTTAGTGCCAGCTGTGGAGTAAAACAGTATTCATTTAAGATATCTTCAAGCAAAGTGAATATTTTCCTTTTATAAGAAGCAAATATCATCAGGTTTTATAATTGTTGCCACCCTATATATTTTTTTCAGATCTCCTCAAACTCTATCAAAATACTAATCTCTTTTAAATTATTTTAAGAAGCATCAAAGTCTTTGAAAGTTCAAACAAAACTAAATTCAACCTACTTTAACAAAACACATAGTCTATGTAATCTTCTAGAGATTTGTGATATCCCAGAATAAATTGTAATATCCAACATTTAGGAAACTAATTTAAAAAATCCTTTTTCAAATCACAAAACACAATCCATTGAATCACGACTATTCCCAAAATTAAAGCTGGAGATAACACAGAGATGTAAAATAGCTAAAATGGGGAGAATATTCCTTTCTTTTTCAAAGTTCAAGTTGCTGTTGTGATATTTTCTGTAACATCAATAAAATTTAGTCATTCATAGTGTCAACATCACTGGAGTGATGGTCAAACAGTATTACTTAAACTCATGCTAAATTAACTGAAAAAGACTCTCCAAAGAAAACACAAAAATTATTCTAAAAGTAATGCATGGAATTCAAATGTTTTGAAGTTCTTAATAATCTCTGATGATACTTAATATATGCCACAAATTATGCCACAAAATCACATTCACCTGCTTTTCTCAATCATCATTTGTCTCCTGGTTACTCTGCCTCCCATGAAACAGAAAGTCAGTATCTGACTGTCCATGGACTTTCTCAGAGCATGAGGACATTTTCATAATTTTCTAGTTTCCAATTTTAAGAAAAGTTTAAATTCATGGTTAAGCATGAAAAAATATTTTCTTTTAAAAACAAAATTTGCTACATTTTGAAGATAAAATGAGCTGACTGCTAAGTAAAGAAAGGGGAGTGGTTATAAGAAAGCTGATTGGACATAATAACCTTTTGATTTCACTATTTGACGCAGTGTGGAAAGGGAGAAAAGAGTATCTTTACAGTGGAGAAACCTGACAAATATGACTTCCTCCAGGTGATGAAGGTCAACTCCAGCAGTGAGGAGCCATGATTGTATATGTATTCTTAATCTGATATGATGAGAATGGCACTTTACAACTGTTGTTTAATACATAATCCCAGTCTAATGAGAAAAACATCAGACACATTCCAATATTGGACACATGACCAGTACTTCTCAATATTGACAATATCATGAAAAACAGAGAAATTGTCACAGCACAGTGGAGCCATAACTGATTGCAAGTGGGTTTTAAAGATCCGATTATTGGATAGAAGAAGAACAGTAGGTAAAAACAAAGGAAATATGAATCAAATATTGACTTTAGTTAATAATCTTGTATCAGTATTATTCCTTTAATTGTGACAAATGTACTATATCAATGAAAGATGTTAATAAAGTGAAGCATATGGGAACTTTCTGTACTGTCTTCACAACTTTGCTATAAGTTAAAACTATATTTAAAAAATTAAGGTTCCCAAGAGTAAATAAAATGATTGCTTATAAAAACATCTGTTATTTATCTCAGTACATTATTCTGTAGATTTGTCTAATATAAATGCCAATGCATTGAGACCACTTGTTTATCTACTCTAAATTGTTAATCACTTGATGTACACATATTAATTAGTAATACTGAACAATAAAAGATGAGTAGTATTTTGAAATTATTTATGCTAAGCCTGTATGTGGATGACTTAGCTTAAATATTTTTTATTACAGCTGGCTCTTGAACATCATGGGAATTATGGATTACTACTCTTACACAAGGGAGGGCAGTTGTAAAGGACCAGGCCTGTAGGGGAGGCAGTTGAGAGTGACCAGGCCTGCAGGAGAGTGCAGTTAGGGGCAACCAGGCCATTAGGAAAGCCAGTTAAGGGATACCTGGCTGGCAAGGGAGGGCAGTTGGGAGCAATAGGCATTGATCAGGCTAGCAGGGGAGTGGTTAGGGGGTGATCAGGCTAGCAAACAGAAGCAGTTAGGGATAATCAGGCAGGCAGGTAGGTATGCAGTTGGGAGCCAGCAGTCCTGGATTGTGAGAGGGATGTCACACTGCTGGTTCAGGGATCAGGCCTAAACTGGCAGTCAGACATCCCCTGAGGGGTCCCAGATTAGAGAGGGTTCAGGCTGGGCATTGGAACACCCCTCCCATGGTGCA